TACTATAGCAGGGGACAATTTCCTTCAAACGATATCGAACAAATTTCTTTTATAAAATTTAATTGACGGCTCAGTAAATTTAGCGCTTTCAGGGCCGCTAAACTATCGACATATATGGACACAGGTCCATCCAGTTCAATTGTACGATTTATCGGCATTTCTACGGCTTTCCTGACAGAAAGATTTCTGCCCGGAATATGCTACAATCTTTATTGAGTTTGAATGAATGCCGGATATTTCACTTTCCTTATTAGAGCCGTCGGTATAAATAGCTATACCGCTGAAAGGTGAAGTGTTCTTGGTCCAAGTGTCAAGTGTCCAAAAATACGAAAATTACATCTAAACCGCGAATATTTTTAATCCCGAATTCACAAATACTTTAAAAGGTCGCCTCTGACTGTTACAGTGATAGTGATGGTCAATACTTCACATATATAGCGAAATAGGTACATATATAAAAGAAGTAGATCTTAGTTATTCTCCTTGAGAAAAGAGTTAAGGACAAGGAAGAAGTCTAACATTTTAGATGACCATTAGATTATATTGCACTGTAAAATGGACCACAACTTTTGTGTTTTGAATACCTTACAACAGGACGGAGTGCGTAAATATTGAGTAAAAGCCCCTTGTCAAAAAGCCAAGGTAACATCTGGGCAGTGCTCTATGGCATTTTTTTTCAAAAACGAAATCTTCAAAAATTGATTTGAACACAAGGAGGCTTCCAACATATAGTAGTGTTGTAGGGTATCACATGGACTGCCCTGCACGGCTATAGCCTTTGTTTACTTGTTTTTATTGAGTTTTGCCCCTCTTCTTCATTCACTGTTTAGGAAAATAAGATTTTTGAGTCGCAAAATGTAAATAAATAATTTCAAATCTTCAAAAAGATTGCGATATTCCAAATTGCATATTGGTTAATACCAAAATTGAAAACAAAAAAAGAAAAACTTTTTTTTTGTGAAGAGGGTTATAAATATATACTACCATGTCCAGAAATTTCCCTTTTAAAAAATTATTTTTAAACAATTTATATTTTAAAAATTATTTAATTCTCCCCTTCTGAGATGCTGAAGATGTATCTGTATTAAATTTTATAGTTCATCTGAATTCTCCTGCTCCAAAATTATACATAAATACACTTCGTATAAATAAGTATATTTTTGCAAAAACCCATAATGAGATATTTTTAGATTTGAGCCACATTTTAAATTACATTTCCAGTAAAATTATATTTTGGAAGGCTATTCTGCAGCTTTATCATTTCAATAAATGTTCCCCGACCAAAGAGTTTAGCTCCTCCATTTCAAAGTTATTTCAAATTTATACCTTAATTTTGGAATGAGAGGAAGGCAAAGTCACGAGATTTCACCTCTCTTGTTGCATTCCCTAAGGTTTTCATTCATAAAAACGTATCTAACTTTCGAGCTATAGGCATTGCTGTGTTATAGAACATTTCACGCGTTATGCTCCATAAATATTTGACAAGAGTTAGGCAAGTGCTCACTCCAATTTTTTCGGTTTTTTTTTTTTGCTAAACATTTTTCTTCTGCAAAAATATTTTCTCTTTGTTGCTTCCACGGCAAATTTTATGATGAGTTTCTTGATAAATGTTTTTTGATCTGAAACCGCTGAATATTGAAAAACAAATAAAAAAAATTCTAAGAATGTATTCAACAAATGCCCTCAAAAATGTATGAGTGTGTGTGTGTGTCTATATGCAAGCACTAATATTAAACAACATGAACTATATTGAAAATATGTGTCAAAAAACAATTTTTTTTAAATTTATCAATGCTTCAAATTTTATGGCCAAATATCTGTAAATATCTTCTGTAAAATCAATTTTTGGATTTACGATTTTCTTTTATAAATTATTTTAAAAATATTATTTTTTAAATTATTTTAAAGTAGCATTTTACTGAAAACCAAACGGACTTAAATTTTTCATAACATTTACTAAACTTCCACTCCACCTTTACATAATCTATGAATTATTTATGCATAAAGGAAATGTTGCTTAATTTGGGCCATTATATTGTCGAGAGCAATGAACAATACAAAACGCCTTTAATGCCTTCCATCGATAATGGAGCATTATAACATATATTAACATATAACAACTACTGTGGCTAGTTATTGTACTGTTGACTTGTGTGTGTATGAGTGTGTGTGTTCATCTTCTTCTTCTTCTATGTGGCTACAAAGCTCTAGCACTCTGCTATCCCCACAATTTCTATGACCACTTAACATTTGTTATGTCTGGCTATCCTTATGTAAAACTGTCTGTGTTTTAAACTGATTTTATTTATAATTACATTTTCCTACCCCCCTCCAACCGTCTCAGACACTTCTTGGCACTGTGGTGGTTAGTTGAGAACACTGATTCCTTAATTTAGTATATGTTAAAGGAGCCATGTCCATATAACGGACAACAAAAGACGTTGAGAATAAATTTAAATTTGTGTGTGTGTGTGTGTTGCACGGCAAGTGATTGTAAACGTTAATGTCGAGGTATGTGACTAACGGAGAGTGTATGTTCTGCACAGTGAAAAGTTCTTAGTATGTAGTAAAGCAAACGTATGAAATCGTTTACGAGCGAATTGTTTGAAATTTTAAAATAATATAATGCGATTTCTTTTTACTCCTTTTGGAGTGTATATTTATACTTTACTATATTTAAGTAAAAATCTTTCTCATGATATTGCATCATAAGTTTTATATCAAATATATTATGGAATCTAAGCGTTTTATTGGGTTATCGTATGTGTCTTACAATGTAAATAGAATACGATTTGAAAGAATTATTTAACTTCACATTTTAGTAGATCTTTGAAATTTAATTTAATGTTTGATTCTCTATTCCCTTTAATTATCTAGTTGCCCTCTCAAGACATGAGCATGTAACGCACACACACATATCTGGCATATTATGTGCACTTTAATACATATTTAAAGGCATTCATCAAAATTCTTGTAAGTATCCTTTTTGTGAAATTATAATGTTCTATTGTCTTGCATTCATATAGGGAAATGTGTGTATGTATGTATGTATGTGTGTGCGTGTGTTGATACTACATACTTCCAACACTTTACAATTATATTAACGTCCGTCCCGTATGTAGTAGCTTCTTGCTGCACTTGCGACCGGCAATATGTGTTCATCTATGTTGGAAAAATGTATTCATAGCATAGGAAATATAATTTCACAAAATGTATACATCAAAGCAAATGCCTTTAGGGGAAGGTAGGAGACATAGGCACACGTATGTATGTGTAGTTGTACATGATATTTTAATATTCTGTATATAAAATAAATTTAAAAGTAAATGGAATATTTTTTTTTTTAAATACAAACATGTACATTTTCTAACAGAAAGTGTTGAAATTTAAGGAAGTGTTATGAATATTTAAAATATTTAGATATACAAAAAAAAATGTGTAGAGTTATTTGCAAAGATAAGTAATTTACAATTAATGACGGTAATTAAGAGTGTTGCCGAACATTTGACATGAATTATGCTGTCCAAATTATGATACTTAGGTACATGCTTTATACCGTTTTCAATATTGCATTTTTCCGGATTTGACATAAATTTCTACTCGACTTGGATGCGTTGCAAATTTGTATTTATAATTTTTTTGGTATTTACAGGTCTCCCTCAAACGTCAGATATTATATAAACTACATATATTCGTGATCAGCATAAAATTCTAAGTCCTTTTAATGATGCCTATACCTCTGTAAGAGATAGTTATAATTTTCAGGATAAATGAATGGAATTTGATATTGGTATTTGTGATTGAAAACGGACTAAATCAGTCAACATTTAGGTATGGCCTACTACTTTGAATGTTTCGGCCCAATATTTCCATCCATAATTTTATAATTCGGGTTCTCAATGGGTAGATGTCATTTCACATTTCGGTTTCTTAGTGGGTAGCTTAAATCCTTGAAATAAATATTGCTTTTGTGTCCACTTTATGTTAAAGCCTCCAAATAATGTTAAGCTATAATATAACCTTTCGGTTTCATAGTGGTTACTTCTCTCAACAAATATTCAATATAGGCATTGACCCCTAATAAAGGATCCATTACATTTTAGAGGTGTTGATGACAGCAGATTTGATCATAACTGAAGTGTTGGTAAAAAATATTTAACTTATTTTTTTAAATTAATTCAATGTTCATTTCATTAGGAGCTAAATATGGATATCACTTTTGTTTTATTACAGGTCAATGGTTGACACTGCTTTTGAAATCCCTGAGTTTCCTTTTTAAGTTTTACTGATAGAATTTAAGAAGAGCGGGCTCAGTGGAATTATTCTCGTGAATTCGGAACATAATTTTATATTGGCATTTGCAAAACGAATACTTTTTAAGATCCGAACTTTAAGAGATCAGATTTAATTAAAAATTAAAACCCACGGCATAGAATATGGCCAATTTTCAAAGACATCTCCATCGGCCTTTAAAGGCTCAGCTCGAAAGATGAACAATCTTTACGTTGATTTTAAGTTAAGAAAAACAGTGACCTCTTTTTTATGCAATTGTTTCGGTATATCCGTTCCAGTTTAAGATTTTGTACTGAAAAGTTAATTTTTTGAAAGTATCAAAGAAATTGCTCTTCTATTGAAATAGGTGTATGAACTAGGTGTGACACGTGAAAAATCAAAATAATAATGTGGCTAGGAAAACCTTTTATTTTTCCATCTTAAAATGGAGAAAAAATTAAGACTTGCTTTATGTATATAAAAATAGATTGTAAATCAGTTTGCTGGATCACATTGAACCCAAAAATCAAGGTGAAAGCCCTCTTCCGATATGTACAAATTAATCACATACATATGAAATCTCAAAACATTTTACAATGAAAATCGTAATTACAAAGACGAAACTGTTATGAGTCTTTTTAACCGAGCTCCACTGTTTGTTAATTAGTTACTGTTAAAATTAAATACTTTTACTTTTTTTTTTTTTGAAGATAGAATTTTTCACATACCTGATTAACCGTCGGATAAGAGCCATATCCAAATTGTGTATATGCAGCCATGGTCGTTGTTTGATGTATAATTGTTGTTGCTGTTGTTTTTTATTAAACACTTCTGATAGCTCTTTTTTATAAGGCAGATCTTCCTTTAGAACATATACACGTAATTATTACAAATAAAATTCTTTTGTGATTACTTTTTTGCACAAAACAGATCTCGCAAATGTTACGGAGTTAAACAAAAAGAGTTTTTTGTTTTGAATCCTTTACTCTGGATTTCAGTGATTTCAGTTTTTTTTTTTTTTTGTATTGTACCTTCGACAAACGAGTTGTTATTGTCCTTTTTGTAAATGATGCTGCGAGCTTTCTATATTGGTATTCTTTTTTGTTTGCGTTTCACTGTTAACGGAAATTTCAAACAACCGGCAACATATCCAACAACAAAATATAAGAGACACTAACAAGAATCCGTTACAAAAACAATTGTTAAGTGTCTTTATAGCATTTTTTGTTTTAACAGCATTAAGGGATCCGTAACATTTAACCCCTCAAGCTTTTTGTTGACAATAAAATGTCTGGCTGGCAGAGCAACCGAACCGAGGAAAAATGTGAAATGGCACAAAGTTAATACTGGAATGGGGGGATTGTGGGGTTTATGCACAGTCAACAGCTACGGCCACAAGCCAAAGGAAAACAAAAAAAAAAAACAATTTTGTCACAACCGTTAAGAGTACTTCGAACCTTTGACTTCAATGTGTGGATTTGAGTGATTCAAACACTTAATGGGGGTTTGGTAAAGTTCACAAAAATAGCGTCACAGTTTATTTTGTTTTGTAAGGTTCTTCTTGGTACAAATAGTTGTAATGGTTTGTTTATTTTTGTTTTAATTAAGATTACTTGTTTACAGTTTTGTCAAAAAATAAACAATTTTTTAAGTATTATTATTTATTTTTTGTTGTCCACTTATGTTTAAATTGAATTGTATGTTTCCGTATTTAATTTTATCAACGATGTCTTTTCATAAGTTTTCTTTTTTTAATTTACATCACACTTTTTGTTTTCTTATTCCAAATGTATCCGATCACGAGAATATTTTGTTTTGTTGTTGTCCTAAAACTCAGTGAGAAATAAAAATTCCGTTCTGTCTCGTGTATCGGACCGATGCGTACTTATTCACGTTCGAACGTAAACTGGTTGTATGCCGAGTATTTTGAACAAAAAATTTGTTTGAATATCCAACAGAGGTGGATGGTTGTATGAGTGTGTATGTGGCTTTGTGTGTTTTGATCACTTTGCCGCAGTGGTATGCTAGTGCTGTTGTTGTTGTTGCAGTTAGACAACGACTCAAATACACACAAGAGAAACAACCACTAGAAACACAAACAAACCACTTAAACAACGATGTGTCGGCACACAATAACTCAGAGCGAAAGAGACAACTAGCAGAAAAAAACAACAAAATAAAGAATTTTGGTTATCTTTCACCCATCAAAAGGAGGAGGAGGAGCCGACGACTTATCGTTAGTATGTTAAGACAATATGTCCGTCCATAAACGATTACTCGTTTGTTTCACTAGTTGTAATCGCTTTCTCATTTCTCCACACAAAATTCATTATATTCCATTTCAACGAGTAGAGCTTAGGAGAGAACTAACTGACTGGTTTTCTCGTTGAATTTGTAAAGAGCCAACGAATATTCCACATTTCCCCTCAATTTAATGCACTTTGCTAGACTTCCATTGGAAATATCATTATGGCTTTTTATTTGTATTTCTTTGGCTTCCTAAGCCACTAATTGAAGATGGTGGTGTTGTTAAATGCCACCCTCCTACTCTACCTTGTGCGTTATTTTTGTAACATTACAAAGGTGTGTAGGAAGAATAATAATTTTGTATTGGATAGTTCTCCTTAAATGTTGTTTCTTTTTAGATTGTTTTATTTTTTTAGGTGGGGTTTCATTTGATAAGATTGTTTTTTTTTTTTTTTTTTTGGTGTTGAACACGCCCTTTTATCAGTGCTATTTACCTAGTTGGGCATTTTATCAAGAATATAATTTTTCTCGATTCCCATTAAAGTAGTTATGAAGAACAAATCAAAACTTACTAGCAATTAATATTAAGTTTTAGAAAATTAGATGTGTAAAACGAAGTCGGTTAAAAAATAAGCATGTATATGAAATTCTTACATACAAAATACCTACTTAAGTATAAATAAATATCTATATAACAAAAATGTTATGTTATAAAATGCGAAACAAGATGAAGAAGAAAAAATAAGAAATATACCTATGTTATTTGCTTTGCAAATGGAACTTCAAAGAAAATATTTAAAAAATATATTTTTTTTATTGTGCTGAGAAATACATAAATAATAAAAGAGTATCTTTAAAACATAAATATGAATATAGGTACCTACATGGACATATCTTTAAATATGTTGTTACTCATCATTGTGAACACTTTTCAAATACAGCAGCTAAGGTTAAATATTAATTGAAATTATTACTATGAAAGCCCGTGTTAATAAAAAATTGTTGCATCCAGCAATTTTTTAAAATTCTTTTCGGAATTCTAGATAGGTTTTTGAAAATTTTCGTTCCAGGTCCATGAGGATTATCTGTCTTTAAAATAAAAATGAGCACATTATTGATTGATTGAAATGTTTTTCGAAGGATTTTTATACATACTGTTGTATTGTATGTCATAGGCGCCCATTCCGACATTATATTTTGTTTACTTGTTAATGTTTCAAATCAATATAATTTGAATTTTTATGACTTCGAAGATTTTGTCAGCTAACTTTTTGTAAAAATTCGCTTAAAAAAAAGAGTTTTATTCTATTGAAATTTACTTTTTACATATTTCTAATAAAATATTAGTGTGGGCGTCAAAATTAAAGGACTCGTAACATAGGTAGTATCAACAAATTTTATCCAGGACTTTAAAATTATCAAAGAAAATTTTAGACAAGATAATATTGTCTTTTGGAAAAATAAATAAATAAAACAAAATAAGATAAGGTTCCTAAAGTCGTTATGTTGACGAAAAATGCTTTTTGGACATTTTAACTAACCAAAACTTAAAAACAAAATATATAATAATGTCAACATAAACACCAACACCGAAAATTGTTATCACTAAAATATTAAATTTTGTCACAACTGAATTAGAAATAATTTCTATTTTTTTATTTATCGTAAAAGACATGTTTTTAATATATTAAAAATTCATATTTTTTCTTTATAAATATCCTCGATTTTAACTATTGAAATTTTTATATAATGAAAGATATGGAGTAATTTAGAGTCGTTAGTAATTTTAATATTTTGGTACAAATTTTTCTATTGTACTTGTACTAAAAAGGATAATCTAACATAATATATAAAAACTTGAATTTAGTACGATGTGTAGCTTTGTGAAAACATTCATTGTCCAGCAGTTAGTAAACAAACAAAATGATCGTGTATACTTACCAAAGAGGTCTATCCTATTCGAACAAGTCTAAACTTATTCTAAAATTTGATGCTATTTCCGACATTTTTTGCTTTCATTCGATACAATTAAAAAAAAGAATATAAAAATTATGGCGTTTGATTTTGTTGCAGTTTTTTATCTGAATTTCAATACGAAATTTGAAACAATTCCGGTGAATATGGTAGCTAAAATCATCAAGGTACCGAATATCGGGAAGTACCGTTATATGGGGTCTATACGAAGACGTGGACCTGCACAGACAATTTTCTGTCTTAGGCTGTAGCATTCATTTCAAACTTCAAATACCAAATTTTAAGAGTTCCGGTGAATAATGTCCTCCAATTCGATCGGAAGCTAGAGTGACTTCCACACACAGACAGACAGACGGACATCGCTATATATATATATATATATTTCGAGGTGTTACAAACGAAATGACAAACTTAATATACCCTCCATACTATGGTGGAGGGCATAAAAAAAATTGCCGCCAAATTGGTAGGAAATCAGAGTTTTTATACCCTACAACACTTTGTGTTGGGGGTATTATAAGTTTGATTGGGCCAGAATTTATGTAACACCTCGAAATATTGGTTTCCCATATAGGAAAGTATATATGGATCTTCCTAGCTCGCCGAGCTGAGTCGGTCTAGCTATGTATGTCCGTCCGTCCGTCTGTCCGTCTGTCCGTCTGTCCGTCTGTCCATGTTAATTTGTAATCACTCTACAGGTCGCAATTATGGCCCGATCTTCACGAAATTTAAAATGTAGGTGGGGTTAATGTCAGAATAGAACCCTATTTCTTTTGGAGATGATCGCCAAATGTTTAGGTGTTGAAATGGACCAAATACTGAAAAAATGTCGGATTTTGCAGTAGCTATACAGGTCGCAATTATAGACCAATCGACGCGGAATTTCGCATGTAGCTAGAGTTTAGGGCGGGGAAGAAGCCTACCAATTTGGGTGGTCATCGGATAATATTTAGCGGCTAAAATAGACCATATCTTTTTTGTTGAAAAAAATTGAAAATTTTTCATTAAACCGCGAATATTTTAAATTCCGGCGAAATCACAAAGCCATAACAAGGTTACTTCTGATCTTTACATTGATGTTAAGATCCAACAAATCGAATATATAGCAAAATATGTACGATATATATGTATATCAAAGAAGATATGCTTGAAAGATCTATTTTATGTCGAGAACGGCTGAACTGATTTCGACAGTTCTCATTAATTCAGAATGGCCTCTTGGCAGGAAACATAAAACGTCAAAAAAATCGCATAAAAATACCTCTCTAAAGATGAAAATATTGATTTTGTAAAATTTTATCATATTTTTTCAATTTTGTCATATTTTTGGCATATTTTCATTTTGAATTAAACATTTGGTAATATTTCTACAGCTAACAAAACTAAGTAGTTAGGATATCAGGATATCATATACAGATCGCATTTATGGCCCGATCCTTACGAAATTTTGCATGAGGATAGGATGAGGGTCAGAATAGAAGCCTACTCTTTTTGGAGATGATCGCCGTATATTTAGGGGTTGAAATGGACCAAAAACTGCAAAATTGTCAGCAGGTCGTAATTATCGCCCGTTCCTCACGCACATTTGAGTGGGGGTTACCGGACATTGCAAAAGCCAAGCAGTTTTGGATGGCCATCCAAAAATATTCAATGTTTGAAGGAGTTTGCCAACTTTTATAGACAAAATACGAAAATGTCCATTCCAGTGACTTTTTGGAGAATTCACAAATACAGGAAAGACGCACTTCTGACAATTTCGTTAACGCTGATTTCGTTGAAGAATATAGTCAAATGGCTGTATCTCATATAGATGTGTTTCAGTCAAAAACCAATAATAAATGTTAATCTTTTGCCACTTCTGAGAGATTATGGGTCTTTGGGAAATATTGGTTCCAGATCTAGGAAGACCATTTACGTGCAACATCTACCAATAAATTGGAAATGAGCAAATTAGTTTAAGTTGCTATTATTCGAAAATTAGAGAACGAAACCTGATGGTTTTCTTTTATTATTTGTCACAATATCTTGTGGAATTCTTTCGAGTATCTCGCCTATATAAACTGTATCGTTTATTGTAGTGTTGTAGGGTATTCAACGGTCGGCCCCGCTCGACTGTAGCCTTTGCTTACTTGTTTTTATTAATTTTTAAATAATTTCAAAACTAGTTATAACAATTATTAAATTTTTGCCTTAGATTAGATTTGGCTGTCTGTTATGAAAATAACTCTACCTGTTCAAGAGAAGCAGATTTTTTACAGGAAAACACAATTTCATTGTACGTTGTAGACTCATGCTTAGACAAAGTGTTGTAGTATCCGCCGAATTTTAGACTTTCTTTACAATGTTTTCATTATTTTATTTTTGTTTTATTTTAATGGTATCCTTTAAATAAATATCGATAAAGAGCTCAACTCGTACTAATGTTAAAAGTAAATATATTTAATGCATTTAAGGAGCACAAACAAAACAAACAACATTAAATGTACTTGAAACCAAACAGAAGAAAGATATTTGTACAATGCTCCACACTGCTGCTCGCACTTAACAACATATGTAGCAATTCCCAACACTTATTTTTTTGTGAGCTGAAAATGATGCTGTATAGAAAATCTAGTAAAAAGGGATTCATCCTCTAAAATAATTTCCAACATTTCGTGTTTTATGAAAAACGTAATA